CACGCTTTATAAGTTTAAGTTTACTTATCTACATTATAATTTAAGTTGTGTTAATGATTTTCAAGCAAAAGTGAAGCCGGCATCCGATACTCCATGCCAGACATGTTTTCGGTGGCCTCTTCAGCCATGTGAACTATTGGCACACCTCGGACAATCCTATACAACGGGCTCGTTATAGACAACTGTCATTTTTACTTGCGCATGTGTGCGTGACGACAAGCGTGTGAGTGCAGGGTTGACATTCGGGTTAATTTTGATACACCTGATGACTACGTACAGTACCTACCAAAGAGGTTGTAATAAATAAATAATGTACCGACTACCAAGTTGCTGCTAATTAAAAATTATTTAGGGGCCTATCTATTACATTATTAATTGTGAGTCGAAAGTAGGTATGAATACGAACCGATTACTTGCTATGTAGTTTGGGTCTTACCTCTGTTCTTCCCGCGGAAACCGTAAAGATCTCCTGTCTGGGTCTCTGTCCGTGGACATACAGCCGTACACGGCACAATATTGCACCATTTTTTTTATTCTATCCAATAATTTTATTATGAAAAATATCCGTCCGCGAATCTAAGGCGAACTCAGTTCAAAGGTTCGGTCCATTTTTAGGGTTTCGTAGTCTACTAGAAACCCTTATAGTTTCGTCATATCTGTCTGTCTGTCTGTCTGTATGCCGCGCCCTCATATCTTCGTCAGTTTTAGAGCTATCGACATGAAATTTGGTGAGAAGATAGATCGTATTGACCCAAATATAGAAATGTTAAGAAAAAAAAAATTTAAATGTTTTTTGGACCCCCTCCCATACAAGTGAAAGGGGCGCAATCATTTTTTTTTTCTTCTGTAATATTGAGTAGGGTATCGTTGAATAGGTCTTTTAAAACTAAGGTGGGGTTCCTTTGAAACAAAGTCAATAAAGTGTTTCTGTCACGAGATATTTGCTTTTAAAAAGGGCGTTTTTGACCCATAGTTTGTTCCAGCTGTAACTTCTAAAATATAAACGCAAAAAATTTGAAATAAATTTGGAATATAGCTTACAATCTGAAATTACAATGAAAACTATAACGGATATTGTACCCTCAAAGGTTTCAGAAAAAATTGAGTTTTTCTATTTGCGGTTGATCATCATACCTCCTTCGTTTCAGTCTAATACAAGAAACCACGAAGAAACCTTCTTTGATGAAATGAACATACAACAAGGCCAGCACCATACCTAGCGCTTTGGTTCACTTAAGTCTTCACTATTTTTTTGACATTTCGCGGGCGGGGGCGGGTAAGCGGCGCAGGTGCGGGGGGGAGAGTGTCCGTTCTGTATGTAGTACTATACTACATACTATTGTCTATTCTGTGCTATTGGTTCAAAAACAGCAGTGCCATGTAGTATTAATAAAAACACTGTATTTATGGAGGAAACTAGCTTGGTTTATTTTAACAAATTCTTATTAAAGTTTTTCAATTTTATGTGTGTCTATTGACGACAAGTAACCAACGCCCACCTTCTTTTGTTTTATCTTCTTAGCATTGAGATGACCAACCTGCCAGTGTCAATAGTTCACATTCAACATTAAACCTTCTTTACTATAATATATATTTGGAGTTTTCTGATAGTTAACTTCACGATTTTAAATAATCTTCTTAAAATTAACAAAACAGCAAAAAAATTGACTAAGTGTTTGCAAATGTGCTATTTGTAACTTGGCTTGATTTTTTGGTTCCTTTTCTTTACTTTCAATATATTTTTTACTTGATATTTCTCTGAAACTCCTGGACCAAACAAATTCGAAATCTGATTCTAGTACAGCAATTAGTGGCAAATTAGCACCATTTCTTCAAACACATTTTTTGGCATTTTTTCATTTTTGTTTACACCGATAAAGGTGATAAAATATATTTTATGGTGTTCACGGAGTTGAGAAAATTTCACTTTAGCTGTAGAAGTGCCCTTGCGCATTGTGTGCGCCCCTGCTGTATTGTACACCCTAGTACTATTATATATTCTGTGATTGTACGCCATATTTATTGTTTTGCGATTACAGCGCCACCGTGGCGGAATTCAGTACTAGTTCGTTCATATTGCCGGGCATTATGCCATACGGCAAAAGGACGTTTTTTTGGCGGTGCACATAATGTCGACGGTATACATACGTCAGATGGAAATATGCAAACTGCTTTTCGTCTGTAAACACACGAGTTATTATGTAGAAGGCAGATTTTGACATATTGACTTCGACATATTTAAGATAAAAAGGGTTGGACCTAAAATGCTGCCTTGAGGGACACCGTATCTGTTCTCAGCAAAATCACTTACATAGTTATCTATCTTCACATATTGTGTTCGGCTTTCTAGATAGCTGCGAAACCATTCCAAAGCTAATCCTCTTATGCCTACTGCCTCTAGTTTTTTTAGAAGTATATTTGTGGACACTGTGTCGAAGGCCTTTGCGAGGTCTAGAAAAATTCCTAGGCAAGGTCTGCTTTTATCTAATGCCCCATACACCTAGATATGTAATTATAATTATTGTACTATGTTGTGAGCAAATAAAATCATATTATTTTTAAAATAATTATGTAAGATTTTTTAGTACCTGATAGTTGCAGGGTTGGGACAGCGTTACAAGAAAGACCATTAGACCTGGTATGAAACTTTTCTTCAAAATGGTGATGGCACAGCCTTCGACGTTTGTAAATGATATGATTATCCAGACGTAATATTTCCCCTCCAACTTTGTAAAGCCATGTTCGGAACCGTTCTATATCTTTTTCCGGATTTGGAAATTTATGTAACGGAACTTTATCAACATCTAAAAACAAGAACAAAGATTTAATAGAAATAACTTGAGATAAGTAATAGAGAAAATTATTGCATGTACCTCTAGTTTCATATACCTATCTACCTACTTTACGTAAGTAAGTAAGTACTCTTGGCTCCTACCCTGATCAGATCATAGGAATGTCATATACAGTGTAAACTCTTTATAACGAAACTCAAGGGACTGAGCATTTTTTGACGTTATCTAGACACACGGCAGTGTGTTCGCCAAGTTCGAGCAAAAAAGCGACACACCGGCCGTGGGTTATATTACACGAACCATTTCGGGCCAAGTTCGACCCACCTATAACTCAAAATCTATTTTATCTACACATATGAAATTTCTAGTATCTGTCGAGATCTACTTACTTATCTAAAATACAAAATTTCATTAATGTACCTATTGTAGGTCTTGAGATATTGACGTCAGAAAATCGCTATTTTTACTATACACTCACTGACTGACTGACTGACTCACTCATCAAAAACCTAGACCACTTCCAATGGTCGTATTGACTTGAAATTTGGCATGGAGGTAGGTCTTTAGGTCAAGGTAAAGGAAAAAATCTGAAAATGGCCAAGTGTGAGTCGGTTTTAAAAATAATAAAGGTGTAAATTCATACCCCTAAGGAACTAAAACAAAAAAATTATCTATATCTTCCAATCGTCGTACCGACCTAAAATTCGTTACGAAGGTTTTTATTTAGTCAAAGTAAAGTATAAATGAGATATTTCCTTACCTAACTTAATCATAAGAAAAAGAAAATAAACCTTACAAAAATAAATGAAATCCACCAAAACATAAATGTGAAAGGCTGCCAAGTTCGATAATATTGGAATGCTTCGCCTATAAAGAAGTGAGATCTAAATAAGTACAAGTTCCATACACAGACCTCAGTTAAAAATAGTTACAGGAATGCCCACATTATTTTTCGCAGTTTGGAAAGTAGATTCTTATTTCCAAACTGCGAAAAATCAAGTGTGCATTCCTGTAACTATTTTTAACTGAGGTCTGTGTATGGAACTTGGTACTTATTTAGATCTCACTTCTTTTATAGGCGAAGCATTCCAATATTATCGAACTTGGCAGCCTTTCACATTTATGTTTTGGGTGGGTAAAGAGTTTTCGTTATACGGAATGAACAAAAAAACAACCAAATTAACAAGAATTTTAATATGCCTTAGATAAAGTCACACAAACTTTTTGTCAACACTAATCGCTTTCCTTTTACTGATCATGTTAACAGTTTCAAAGTAGGATTACCTACATACAACTGATAGTAGTACATTAGGTACCCAATATAGGCTTGGTTGTAGACAACACTTCCAAGAAAACAATGCATCATGCTGCACATGTTCAAGGCAATTAAAGATAACAAAAGCTTGAACGATTTTGGAAGTTCCGGAGCTGCAAAGTCTTTTGTTACCCGATAACAGAACAAAACAATTGTACCGACATTATAAATATTTACTGCCTAAAACTATGAACACATTTCTTCGTAATAGAGAATGACAGTATCGCTATAAAGAGTGCATCAGTATGTCGGTTTTAAGGCAAACCAACCAAATTGGGCTCACCTCTACTTTATAGGGAGTTTATCGTTATAGAGGATAATGTTATAAAGAGTTTACACTGTACCTTAGATTAGACACCTTAATACATTTTTTTAAAGTTATTGCACGGTGATTTGGCTTACTGGGAAGTAGCAAGAGGACCAACATATATTCAACTGTTACATGCTTTGACGATCCTAGATAAAAAAAAATGTGGGAAATACTTGGAAATACCTACCTATTGTAAATGGTATTTGTAAATGAAATTAATTAAAAAACAAGGTTAAAAACATACACTTACGAGTCACTTTACATCCTGGTGCACCGCATTTTTTTTCTGACATCTTTTTTAAAACATCACTTATTCCAGTTTAAAAGCCAAGTGTTGTTGTGTAGGCAGGAAGTACGGAGTCCGAAAAGTAAGCAAAGAAGGAGTCAAGTCAATAAGAGTCAGTGGCAGAATCAGTGTCCAAAAACTTGTGCACGGATCAGATAAAAAGACATCCCGAAAACGAAAGTAATATAATTCCTGGAGACATTTAAAGCAACAAAGGTTCAAACATCTGAATATTACAGGAACGGGAATTCCTACATGATCGAAATATACTCATGGCAGTCTTTTTTGTCATCTACTGTCCCGATGGTGTAGTGGATACTACCCCTGTCCACTATGCAGAGGGTTGTGGGTTTGATTCCCACTGGACACAAGCATTTGTTAAGACAAGTTTCAAATATTTGTGTTTAGTCTAGGTGTTTTCTATGTATGATATGTATTTATTTAAGATAAGTACTATATCAGTTGTCCAGTAAGTTTTGTTTAGTTAGGGGCTAGATGGCGCTGTGTCTCATCCAGGGATATTTATTTTATTTTTAATTAGTATACTCTGACTTTACTTTTAATTTTTATTTCACTATTTCACAAGTGACCTCATAGAAAAAGTTATACATAATCATGAATAAGCCCACTCAGCTTTGCACTGTCTAACAATAACTCTGTATACATGCAAAAACATAAATTGCAGTAAACTTACCTATTTCAATTGGAGAAGCAGGCTGCCTTGTTTTGATTTCGGCCTCTGTAAAGAGTGTCGGAATCCCATTAGCAACCCGTTTGCCTGTCACCGAGACATATCTTTCTTCGAAGTGCCGCCTACACACTCTTTTCGTACATCGCCCATTAACGTCCTTGCTAAATTTTAGATTAGGATACCTTTGGGATATTATTTCAATCCAAAGTTCGCTAATTATAGTCCTTGATGGAAAATGGTATAGTTTTGTTGCTCGCGAATTGTATTTGCAATCAGGTATGCAACAAGTCATTAACGCTGACCGAAATGCTGACATTCCTAAAAAAGACAAAGGGCAATTTAAGTATTAGTATAGACTGCAATGATAGGTAGGTATATATTTTATTTTATTTACCGGGATTCATGCAAACTGCCAATACAACGTGCCAATATAAATGTAAAAAAAAAAACAATTATACCGGGAGTAACGGAAAGGGTATAACAAGCCGAAAGGAGGTCAAGGTACTCATGAAACTGAACAACTTTCCCCATGGAACATGGGTCGAAATATGAAAAAAAAAATTCGTCCTCCCATAGTAAATCAATCAGCTCATCGGCGATTTTGTATGGAAGGTCCAAATTTTTTTTTCATATTTCGACCCATGTTCCATGGGAAAAGTTGTTCAGTTTCATGAGTACTTTGACCTCCTTTCGGCTTGTTATACCCTTTCTGTTACTCCCTGTATAGAAAATTTGCTGCAAATGCAACGCAAACCCGCATTTTCTACTAAAACCCTTTCTGCTGTGGCCAGCCCCCTTAACACCTCAACCCCAAGAGCTATTAAGTAATATAATATAGTCCCAAGACCAGGGCCCCAAGTCTGCTAAATATAAAAATCGTCTCACTTGAGTGTCGATGGCATGTCAGTTGGATGGTTTTGGTAGTTTCGTATTCTGCTATAGCAGACTTGGGGCCCAGAAGGTCCCTTTTAGTAAACAGCCTGCTAAAACGTAAAAGGGAAAAAGCCGAATCAGAACGACCACAATGTCTTACAATACGTACGGATCTTACCTGAATTTATAACGACGAGAGGAAATTAATGACTGTTTTTACACAAGAACTACGGTATCCCATTTGTAAATTGTAAACCATTGTAAATAAGCAACCACGTTAAGAATTTATACAATACAATACAATAGAACAAACAAACGTGAATCAAACCAAAATCAAACTGTCAATCTATCTCTTCTCTTAGGCTGCTCGCCCACGTCAGTCTTTTTGTCGGCCGACAGCGATTGACAACTAGAGCTGGTTTTGATCGAGTCACTCGAGTTAAGCTGCGAACGAGTCAACTCGAGTTGCTTTTTCTACGCCACCGAGTCAATTTAGAAATGTTAAGAAAAAATATTTTGATTGTTCCCATACATGTGAAAGGGGACAAACAGTCCAACTAGGAAGATCTAACTTTGAGAAGGAGGTCACTCGGCGAATCCAGCTCGGCTGGGCAGCTTTCGGGAAGTTACGCAGCGTCTTCACGTCCAAAATTCCTCAGTGTCTCAAGACGAAAGTGTTCGAACAGTGTGTCATGCCAGTGATGACCTACGGTGCCGAGACGTGGTCTCTAACTGTCGGCCTCCTTAATAGACTAGGAGTCACTCAGCGAGCTATGGAGAGAGCTATGCTCGGTGTTTCCCTACGTGATCGAATCAGAAACGAGGAGATCCGTAGACGAACCAAGGTAACCGACATAGCTAAGAGAGTCAGTAAGCTGAAGTGGCAATGGGCAGGCCACATTGCTCGAAGGACTGATAATCGGTGGAGCAGGAGAGTTCTCGAGTGGAGACCACGTACCGGCAGACGCAGCGTAGGACGGCCCCCCGCGAGATGGACAGACGATCTGGTCAAGTCCGCGGGGAAATGCTGGATGCAGGCCGCTTCTAATCGGACAAGGTGGAAATATTTAGGGGAGGCCTATGTTCAGCAGTGGACGTCCTATGGCTGATATGATGATGTGAAAGGGGGGGAAAAAAATTTTTTTCACCCGTAATATTGAATAGGGTATAGGTTAATTTTGTTGCTGGTTTGTTTGCAGCTGTATGGTTACCAACCGCAAATTGAAAAATTTTATATATCCTTAATCTTTAGTGGTACAGTATCCTTCATAGTTTTCATGGTAATTTCATACTACGAACTGTATTCCATATTTTTTTTCAAATTTTTAGCATGCGTACTTTAGAAGTTACAGCTGGAACTAATTATGGCTAAAAACGCCCCTTTTAAAAGCAAATATCTCAAGACACAAACATTTTAGAGACTTTGATAAAAAGAAATCTCCCCTTAATTTTAAAAGACATATGCAACGATACCCTATTCAATATTACCGGTGAAAAATTTTTTTTTGCTTCCCTTTCACATGGGAACAATCAAAATATTTTTTTCTTAACATTTCTAAATTGACTCGGTGGCGTAGAAAAAGCAACTCGAGTTGACTCGTTCGCAGCTTAACTCGAGTGACTCGATCAAAACCAGCTCTAGTTGTCAAGCGCTGTCGGCCGACAAAAAGACTGACGTGGGCGAGCAGCCTTATTATACCATACCATGACATGACTGAACTGAAAAAAATATAACTGTGCCCGACACGATATTGTACACTAATGTAACAAAACAAGGCACGACAGTGAGTGAAAGAGTGCATCCAGTGCATTGTGTGTGTGTGATTGATTTGTGATAATCACAATGACGCAACGTCACTTTTTTACATTCCATTTTACAGTGATGAACTGTTTATGTTAATTATTAGTAGAGTGGTGAGTATGGCAATAAAGGGGGAGGCTGATGTCATTGATTTTAACATACTTACTGAAAGAAAGAGACATACTGTCATGTTGTACAATATAATGCCGGGCATTGCCGGACAATAATATGTCGTGCATTATATTGACTCTTCTTCTCTTTAATTTGGTTTACATTTCATTCATTCATTTCATTGTATTGTCTGTGGTTGAGTGGTGTCACTTGTGTCATTTATAAAATATTGTAATATTTGTAATTTCGCTAATTCCGCTGAAAATCATCTAAAAATATTATAAATCCTACTATTCGAAGATGGAAGTTATTGTAGCAAATGTAGAAAACCTTAAATTCGACATAGACTATGCTCTCGAAGAGCAATTCGGTGCATTACCGCTACCGTTCCCAGGAATGGACAGTAAGTTCATAATTCCGCATAAGTAGTTCTATTGTATTACTCCACGGTGCTTTTACTTATAATGTAACTAGCAGTATTATCTTCTTGATCTCCTCGAAATATCGCTCTATCGAAGAAAATAACCTCTAACCTTTTATTTTACCAGAATCAACAGCAGCCGTTTGCGAGTTTTTCACTCAGCCCGGCGGCTGCGCTAATGGTCCGCAGTGCCCTTACCGGCACGTCCGCGGCGACCGCACAGTGGTCTGCAAGCATTGGCTGCGAGGACTCTGCAAGAAAGGCGACCAGTGCGAGTTCTTGCACGAATATGACATGTCCAAAATGCCCGAGTGCTACTTTTATGCGAGGTTCAATGCCTGTCACAATAAGGAATGTCCGTTCTTGCATATTGATCCGGAGAGCAAGATTAAAGACTGTCCATGGTATGTATTTCGGGCATGCAAATAATTGGCTTTGTAGTTTTACTGACCCTTTTTCTGTGGGAATGAAGTAAGATTTCCTCTGTTGAAATATCATGAGTGGATATAGACAGAATCCAAATAAAAGCTCCCGCACTTCAGAACAGATATTTAGAGTCCCTGCAATGTACAACATAGTATTGTACACCATAATACTGGCCGTCAGAGTAATGTACGAGACGTGATGAAGCACGACATGGTGGATGGAATCAAAACAATGTCGCCATCCATCACCCCGTACCGAAAGTGCACGGGGGTGGATTGCACGACATGATGGTTGGAGACATCACATGTTGTGGTAGAATAGTGATGTGACTAGATCGATAATATTATATGCAATTCTGACTTAATCGATATTGTTTTTATATTAAATATTTTCTTTAGTAAGCTTGGTCGCTCACTTCGTTCGCTCCAGGGGGTCACTGTTCTAACCTAACCTAACCTACTGTGTCGGATTTGCGTTAAATGTGTTTTTTTTACTGCGGGGCTGCCCCAAACTTATGGGGCTTCGCCCCGTCCCCCTCCGTGGGTTGCCTTGCATGTTATGTTCGAATAATTAATCGATAAGTCGATCAAAGGCAACACTGTCACATCACTACATTCGCTGTGACGTCATTTGTTTTGATTCCATTTCCACCCCTGTACATTATCGGTCCGGGCCCGTATTTCAAGACCATCCATCCATCATGTCGTACAATGATCTGCTGTACAATACGCTGCCGTGCTTAAACCTGCTGTACATTATGTATGTCGTGCATTGTGGTTCCCCGATATTTATATCATGAAATTATTCCTGCGACAACTGTGAAGCAGGAGACACAACGTCACTGCCTGCACCACATTATATTCAAAAACAACTAAATCTTTGAGATTTTATATTATTGGTTTAATACTGGTAGAACAAAACAGTTAAGTACAATATTATTTATAAATAATGACACCATCCAAGTCGAACTTTAGCCGTATTGCAATTTGATACCTAAAATCTGCATCTGTTGCACTGTGGGCAGTGTTATATTATAAGGAACAAC